AAGAGTGAATATAAGTGAGCACTACTTCATGTGCTCCAGGAAGGCAGTGTGGAAGAGAAGATGGCCATATCTTTATTGTTTGGGATAACTTCATACAGTCTTCTTTCTTCATTGTACCTTACAGATTTGTGCCAAGATGGCCAAGGTAAAAACCCTGACATTGAATGGAAAGAAAATTTGTAAGAGATTAGAATAGCAGCTGACTGTCAACTTTGCCACAGTTAAGTGTTCTATGCAGAATTCTTGTTTTGATTAATAAATCAAGAGTTCATATATGCAACCAGATCAGCTTTTTATGGAGGCTGAGAGACGGCACCTGCATGGTAGATGGTAGATGGAGCCACCGCCTGCCCCTGCTACATGCTCCCACACATCTCATCAACCTCTTCTTGTCCATCATGTGAAATGCACATCATTAATGAGTCATGCATTGAATCTGCTATTAAAACACAAATTCCTTTCTGGGCAGCAACATATCAAGTTATCAGCTATTAATAAACTCTTCATTAATTAACCAGAAATTAAGAAGCTAATTATCTAGAAAGGGCCTAAGGGAATGATGGTAAAAGCAGAACTGTTCATTTAACAACACTGAGGGTCTCCTACTGTACATCATAGTACCAAATGGGGATACAGTTCATTCATTCACTAATTCACTCATTCACTCCCTCCCTGATTTGTTCATTCACTCATTCAATAGATATACTAGGAACTACGGTATAAATTCTGCCCTCAGAGAGACTATAATCCAGTAGAAGAAACATTATTTGCATCAACAAAGCAGGAATAAAACCACTGAATTTTAAAATGAGCTAAGCGCTATGGAAGTTAGTAGATAGGAGAGAGTAATACCAGATGAGGGAATTGATACAGCTTTACAGAGAAGGCATCCTTGAATGTTCAAGGATGGCTAGCATGTGACTATGTCAAGTGGGGGAGACGGCTGAGGAATAGCACAGAATTGCAGACCTCCTGCTGAAAGGGGCCAGCCAGCCAGCAGGAGGTGGCAGAAGTCTAGTGGACTCCAGATGCTGGGGAGAGCAGGAGGGAAAGTGAAGCACTATGTGTGCAGAAATGGAGGAGGGAATTCCAGAGGCAAACAGCATGTCTTGTTTACCAACATGCCTGGGGCCAGGCCTGCATTTATTTATGTTTCAGGCCTTTTTCTTCTGAAAGCATAATTTTGTGGATCTTGGAGATTCTCTACCCAAAGCCCTTATTTTACAGAAGAGAAAAAAGAAGTTTGATGAATTACCCAAGTCCACAGAGTCAGTAGGAAGCTGATCTGAAACTATTAACTAAGTGGTCCTGAAATGAATGAATGTAGTATTCTTACCCTTCAATCAAGGGTTTCCACCTGGCTAGCAGCATCTCTGGTATAGGCATGTGTACACCTGAGAGTGAAGGAGAAAGAACAAACGATTGGCTCTGAGGTTAATCAGGAGGGACATGGATCTTAATAAGGGGGTTAAAAAACACAGACCTGCATATTTTCACATCTTGAGAGAAGTTTCCTTTGGAAACGAGGACTAAACTGGAAACTTGGGCTACAGTATTTTCTTTCAATACAACGGGTGGTCAATGAATTACAACTCAAGCTTTTAAGACTTTCTTTGCTACCAAAATGCCTGCTTCAACTCCCCCATCCTCACTATTATTATAAATGCAAATGACATGTTCATAGATGGCCAAAGATTGGCTTCTCAGGATAAAATGAAACCAGCAGAAAAGGAGTCACAGCAACACACCACTTGGGTTTTCAATGAACTGAAAGCACCTCTAAACATAATTAAGATTTTCAATTCAGAAAAATACACTGTCTTAATAATAAACATGAAATGCCAGGAAAGACATAAAAGCATTTAAAGTAAGTTGCATTGGGCCTTCTATCCATCTGTTCTGGGAAATTTCTGCCTCCATCAGAATTAAATTCCCTCCACCGGGTAAGTCATATTAATTTCCCATAATTCCAGACCATTCAGAGCAGTGTTGAACAGATAAGATGTTTACAAATCACAGAATTAGAGAATGTTGGCAAGTATCTTAGACATTTTCTGAGCTGCCGCTATTTTTATATAAGATGGAAATAGCCTACAGAAAAAGTGACATAGACAAGATACACACATAATCAAGATGGAGAACCAGTTCCAGAAACAGGTATTCTATCTCCAGGCTGTTTCCCCATCTAGAGTCTGAGGAAAAAGCTTTCTTGCTGTTCTCCTGGCGGGGTGGGAGGAAGATGCTAAACCCTCTACCAAGTGTGCATTGTGCTCAGGGCTCAGGCTTTATTCACGGACAGGTCCAACTCCCATTTCAAAAGGACTTCATTCACCTTTCAAATCCTTACCTACAAACACAAATATATTAGTATATATATATATATATATATATATATATATGTAATTAAATATGTAAATAAAATATTAAAAGTGATTTTCTTCCAAGCCACTGCCAGAGTAACTTTTTCAGATATGTCTAAGTAAACTTTTTTGAGATATCTCCACAGCTTTGTTCCATTTTTTCTACCTAATTCCCCTTTTTGCTTTTAAATATTTGATGGTTCTATAAATGAATGTATTACAATATAATGAACGTCAGTGAGTACTACAGAATTAGAAGCTATGGACATGTTTTACAATAGAAAATGGTTTAGAGTTGATCACTTGATGGGAAATAATTTTGCTACTACATTATCAAGACTGAATTGTAATTAGGAAAACCTTTTAGAATTTAATGTTAACTGAAAAAATTCAAGTTATAATACTGAATATAATCGATTACTATACTCTGTAAAAATAGCTTTTTATAAAAAGGTTAAAAATTTCACAATGGCCATTGTGTTGCAGCTGTAGAATTATGAGCAAATGCTACTAAAAAACTTCTAAGATTCTAAAAAGTGAACTATTATAATATTCCGATACATTGTAAATTGTACAACTAAAGAAAAATACAAATTTAAATTTAATTGAAAGGAAACTATTAAATATCACTTGGGTGAAAAAGGCTAAAGGAGACAATCAGCTGTAGTTCCTAGCCCCTGGAGTTCAGGAAACAATGAAGATGTTTCACAGCATTCTGGGTATGACAACAAATCAATGTGGAAGAATGTTCTAGAAAGCTACTGGCTTTTTCATAGCTAGTTCCTTGTCAGTCTGCATCTGAAATGAAGTTCATTTATTTGCACCACTTGTTTATAAATTCAAAGCTAACAGTAGAACAAAAAGACATCCTACAGTATGGGAGAATATATTCATAAATGACATATCCGATAAGGGGTTGATATCCAAACTATATAAAAAGCTCACACACCTCAACAAACAAAAAGCAAACAGGCCAATTAAAAAATAGGCAGAGGAGCTGAACAGACACTTCTCCAAAGAAGAAATTCAGATGGCCAACAGATACATGAAAAGATGCTCCACATAGCTAATCATCAGATAAATGCAAATTAAAATCACAATGAGATATCACCACACCAGTTAGAATAGCCAACATCCAAAAGACAAACAACAACAAATGTTGGCGAGGATGTGGAGAAAGGGGAACCCTCCTACACTGCTGGTGAGAAAGTAAACTAGTTCAACCACTGTGGAAAGCAGTATGGAGGTTCCTGAAAAAACTCAAAATAGAAATACCATTTGACCCAGGAATTCCACTCCTAGGAATTCACCCTAAGAATGCAGGAGCCCAGTTTGAAAAAGACATATGCACCCCTATGTTTATCGCAGCACTATTTACAATAGCCAAGAAATGGAAGCAACCTAAGTGTCCATCAGTAGATGAATGGATAAAGAAGATGTGGTACATATACACAACGGAATATTATTCAGCCATAAGAAGAAAACAAATCCTACCATTTGCAACAACATGGATGGAACTAGAGGGTATTATGCTCAGTGAAATAAGCCAGGCAGAGAAACACAAGTACTAAATGATTTCACTCATATGTGGAGTATAACAACAAAGCAAAACTGAAGGAACAAAACAGCAGCAGAATCACAGAACCCACGAATGGACTAGCAGTTACCAAAGGGAAAGGGACTGGGGAGGATGGGTGAGAAGGGAGGGATAAGGGGGAAAAAGAGGAATTATGATTAGCACACATAACGTAGCAGGGTAGGGGACATAGGAAAGGCAGTATATACAGAGAAGACAAGTAATAATTCTACAGCATCTTACTATGCTGATGAACAGTGATTGTAATGGGGTATGTGGGGGGCACTTGGTAACAGGGGGAGTCTAGTAACCATAATGTTGTTCAAGTAATTGTACATTAATGATACCAAAAAAAAAAACTAGGAAAAAAAATTCAAAGCCAAGATGTTGGACTATATCCTGGCTACCTTCCCTACCACTTCAATAGTTAATCAGAAAAAAATGCCTTAGTTTGGTATCAGGAAAAAGCTTCAAGCTTCCTCCCAAGGCATGCCTTGAACTAAGTACTGCCAAAGTCACCATACTTTTAGACATAATATTTTATTAGACAGGGACAGACAAACTGAAACAGCAAGAGAAAGTACCAGAGAATGTTTACTTTCAGAGAAGCCTAAAACAAGCTTGGTACACGTGTGTTCTCATGCTACCATGGTGGTTTTTAGGTGTCTCTCAAATAAAAGAAGTATCTTTTTATCAGAGTTTTTAGAAGGAGATTCGTAGGTAAAACGGGAATTAGTATATTCTTTCAGGTATGAGCTGGGCTTTGTAATAAGACTCTGGGGCCTATGGACCTGATGGCCATGTAAAAAATAGTCAATGTTAGTATTTATTCAGTTCAAATATTTGAATTCCTTAATGAAATAAAAGGGATAAATGCCATAATACTTTGTATTTCTATACTTCATAAAAGTTTACATAGCATTTTATGTTTCCTTTATTTTTTTTCAGGTTTATATATTTATTCAGGTGATTCAAATATCAGTGAAGCATTTTAGCATTATGAAATCCAATGTTTGAAATCTTTTTTTCCCTGCAATTTTATTTACTATAGTTTTGTAATCTTGAAGAGACTCTCTTAAGTTTTTTATGCATTCAGGTATTTTGCATGATGTCTGATGTGATCAGTAATAAAGGTTGCAATGAAGTAGTAGCTATGATCGTAACCCTCTTGTAATCTAAAAACAACAGGGATTTTCTTTTCTGTACAGGCAGCTATGAAGTTATCAGGCAATAATTGTCCATCAGAAAGAAACTGATCATCTTTTCCTTGATCAATCAGTATGTCCAGCTGAGAACCTGGATAGGACTTCACAAGATGGGTAGCATCATAAGCCTTCCACTTATTTTGATCTGTTCCCAAATATCCACTAAAGGTTTTTTTGCCCCAAGGACAAAGCACTGGGTTGCAAATTGGAGCAAATGCTGACACAGATTTGTATTTTCCAGGATTCTTCAAAGCACAAATCAGAGCTCCATGTCCTCCCATGGAGTGGCCAAAAATAGACATCTTTTGAGGGTCCACTGGAAAACTGGTATTTATGAGTTGGGGAAGCTCCTTCATTACATAAGAGTACATTCTGTAGTTAGTTTTCCACGGATCTTCAGTGGCATCCACATAAAACCCAGCACCAGTGCCAAAGTCCCAGCTTTCATCTTCGCCTTTAATATTGCAGCCACGGGGACTGGTATCTGGAGCAATGATAAAGAGGCCATGTTCTGAGGCAGCTTGATGATAACCAGATTTTGATATAAAATTTTGTTCTGTGCAAGTTAAACCAGACAGCCAATACAGTGCAGGACATTTTCCAGTTTCTGCCTTTGGTGGTAAGTAGATAGAAAATTTCATCTTGCAGTTCAGTTCAATACTGTCATGTTCAAAAACTTTCTGCAATCCCCCAAAACACTTGTTGCTGGAAATCTGTTTCAATGCTATTTTTCCCCTCCAGCGGCTTCGGAGAATGGAGTTGTGGGCCCGGAAAGGCGGGACCTCAACATGGCCAACGGAGACACCTGTTTCCTTTATTTTTTAATGAACACATTTTATGATGAGTAAAGCTGGATTATTATTCCCATTTTACAGAATCTAAGAATCTAAGGCTCAGAGAGATTTGCCCTGTCCAAGGTCACTCAAAGAGCCAGGATTTAAGACCACATCTTCAGACCTAATCTAATGCTCTCCCTCTACAGCCTTTTCCAGGCTAGTTTGATTAAACTTTGCCTAAGGGCAGAAAAATGAATCTGATCACCTCTCCTGGTCTTCCTCAGGTCATAGTTTAAACAGGTTGGTGGTGAATAAGTTGAGAGTAGTATTTAACAAAACATGCAGTTTTAAAAAGTATGATACTAATGAATTCATACATTAATAAGAAAAACTATTCTACCCATCAAATAGTTTTTTTAACTTACTAAACCACAATCAATAAATGTCAAGGAAAGAATTAATAAGGAAGAGAAAGTGATGACAGATGTGCATTAAACAGACATAAAAGCTACTGATCTAATAAGCAAATCCTTAAAAAGGCTGTCCATCTGGGTTTGCAGTTAGTTATAACCTATGATTCCCATCACTCATGTACATTGGGGAAGCCAGTATACAAAGAGGATTACTTCCTAGAGCACAGAATAAGCCAAAACAATTATAAATACAAGTACACAAGTACATGAAAAAATTCAATTTCTCAGGTAATCAAAGAAATATAAGTTAAAATAAGATATGTTTTATCTATGAATGTGCAAAATAATTTAACAGTAACAGTGTTGGAGTACAATGAAACAGACACTTCTTCATAGACCTAGAGGAACTATAAACTGAAATCCACCTTCATGGAAGCTTTCTGACAATGTTTACTAAAAATGTATATATTTAACCAGTAAGTTTACTTACATTAATTTATCCTCAAAAATTCACAAACACTAGTCTAATGTGGTAGGGTGACCATCATTGTTTTATTCAAGTAAAAAACAATATAGGTAACAATAATTTAACAAAAGGCAGACTTTTTAATAAACAAATTCTTGGACATCCATATTACAGAATATTATTCAGTCCTTAAAAATTTGTGTTGTCAAAAAATATTTAATGACATGGTAAATTATATGATGTATGAATATGTAGGGCATATATTCTTATATAAGTATAATCTTAATTTTATAAAATAAAAAATTCATGACTATATGTATGTAAATCATAATGGAAGGAAAAACTCCAAACCAATGGATTTGTCTGGATGCTGATGGCATGGAAGACGGCCTTATTTCACTCTTACAATGAAATTTTGGAATTTCTTACAGACAATATGAGAATGGTATACATTGACTTCTCAAGCTTTATTTGGTATAAGTATACAGTATCTTTATAATGGTAGGAAATGACTTACTGATGCATATTGATGGGTTTGTTACAAAGTCATCCTGCTCACAGCAGATGGGAAGAAATCTTAATGATACATGGACTCCAAACCTCCAAATACTAGATCCCAACAAACAGTGGCTATGTGCTATCTCCTTTTAAAATGAAGTTGAGGAAAAGACTCCCCTGAAGAACCGTTACATTTATCAAGCAATGAGAATTACATCACTGTCTTGAGATGCCAGAGTTCAGAAATGCTGACAACATTTTGCTTGGCTCCAGGTGTTTTATATAAGAACTTTAGGAAAGTTTTTTGTTTCTGTGTTTTTAAATGGAAGGACTACAGAACCCAGGACAGAATTTCTATGTTCTAAAAGCAATGATCTCCCTCTTGGGTAATGCATGTTTCATTCTGTAATTAGTTTTTGTCACGAGTCGTCCAAGGTTTCAGGTTACATGCCTATAAAAATCACTGGTCACCTTCTTCCATGCCTACCATGTTCTTCATCTTTGCTGGTCTCATTTTAATCTCTTTATGCTCAACCTAAAAAGCTGGCAGAGTGTGAACCTGCCTTTAAATTCTATTAGTTGAGCCTTTCATTTTTGTGTAGTTTGGTTAAGGGATTAATTCTGCATATCAAACACATGCTTCTCTGATAGTTGATTGATCTTGGAAATGCTTACCAAATGCTGGTATGCATCCAGCCAACAAATCCATTTTCAGTCTATTTACGATAGTCAAACCTACCTTCAGCAGGTCAACTTATAAATGAACAACATTTCCAGTCAGACCATTAGTACTTTTCATGTGAGTCAGGAAATGAAGCCAGCCTGTATTTCTGAACCATATGGTCTGTACACATGGGATTAAGAAAGGCAGATTATTCATTAAGCCAGCCTCTCTGTGGCTCCCGAACCTCCTCTTCTCTCCTTTCCTTCCTTACCAAGTTCACTGCCTGTTCAGTCACTATCCATATGAAGAGACAACCTATAGTGGTGTCACCGAACCTACCCAACCACAGAGTACTGTAAGAGTCCATGAGACACATTCAGATTAAAATGGATGAAAAAAGCTATCAAAAATGAATTACAACCAAAAATACGGTAAGATTCATATGAATTTTCTTTAAAAGGACAAAAATGTACAATCTATTTTTCATTAAAAAATCAAAAATACACAAAACTTATAGAAAAGGTACAGAACTGGCAAATTGACTAGATAACTGACATCATTATGATGCATCAGGGCGCACACCGACCAGTGCTGCATGCGAAAGAAGGCTGCTCACGCCATTTGTGGCCAGAGCACAGCCAATCTTAATGCAGAGTAAGCTTCCCTCACTGGCCCCAGATAGTAATGTCAAGAATTGGCATAATGCCACAGCTTCGTGAGTCTTGGAGTCAATCTAGTAAGCAGCTACAGAAATGTCCTCAAAGAGTTATTGATATCAATATATATTCCAAGTCAAACATTAAAATACAGTGGGAAAGTACTGCTTGGCTGTATGAATCATGTAAAAGTAATTCATTGTGTGATGAACTGCTAACATGGATCTACAGAAATGGACTGGAATTAGTTCAGGAGGGGAACACATTGTCTAAGCCTTGCAGCCCCAACAGCAATCTATCCCCACAGTTAGTGGATTCTAAGCATTTTCCATCCCTACTACTCTACAGGCACTTCCAGGGCTAATTTGAGAACATCCCCTTACATTAGAACACTTTCTCATCTGCAAACCTCTTAGGCTGGTATTTATTGCACCTATGATCTATAACAAACTCTTCTCAGTTTATCCACCACTACTTCCTTGTCTTATCCTCTTTCCACTACAGCCTAATATTCCAATTCAGTTCCTTCAGATACATCCTACATGGTCATGTGTTCACACCTTGATCTCCTTCTCCAAAGCCCTCCTCTCTGCCCTTAAGCATCCCCCACTCATGAAGGTCCAACTTACCACCTCCATGTTCTAGCCCTGCTGTGAGGCCTCTCCTGCCCTGTCAATCCTGCAGCACATGCTGTCTGTCTCAGAGCACCCTTCTCAGATGCCCTCCCCTTGCAGGTTAGCTTGTTCTGGGCCTCGTCTCTACAACAAGATATCTTGAGAGCAAAGACGAGGGCCATCCTTCTTTGTACTGCCCTAAACGCCTACCATGGATTAAAGTACTTGGGCCCTGACTGAGAAATAAAAGTGTCAAGTCAATTTCAATGCTTCAGTAACAATCTTTTTCTCTTCACCAAAAAAATATAATTCCAAGATTGTGATATTTATTGGTAACTCTCTGAAAACCCTTCAATGAGAGTGGGCTCTCTCTCTAAGGAGACATTATTTCTTAAAGTCATTAGTTGGACCTCAACTCCAATAACACAATAGGCAGTGACCTGACCTGCTAGATGCTGGTGAGGCAAAACAAAACGGCAAACCTAAGGCTCTTCTTTGGCTGCTACCATGCATGGTAGATAGGTAATAACACTAAAAGCTCAAGTGTCAAGGAAGAAAGATAGACATAGTCCTTGCTCCCAAGATATCTACAATCTTTCAGAGAGAAGAGGCCCAGAGCAAGCTAACCAGCAATGCCAGGGAGTGCAAGAAGGGTGCTCTAGGGTAGACAATGTGGGCCTGGCACAACCAGTCTTAATGAGAGAAGTAAGCTTCCTCACCTGGTTCAATGAAACAATGCCAAGAGCTGCCATAATGCTACAGCTTCATGACATTTTTAAGGGCCAACATAAAAAACAAAAACAAAGAAGCAAACAACAACAGAAAGAAAAAAAAGATATTCCCTTGGTTAACCCCAAGCCAGAGGGAGCCATTGTCCAATCTACTAGACCAGGGCTGGGCATCAGAGCAAGTTGTCACCTTCTGTGGTCATACACATGAAGACATGGTTATTAGATCCAAACTGTGCAGAACTAGAAGGATGAATCAGGGGTGGTAAGGTATGAGGGAACTCCTGGAGGCAGTGTTCAGAATGCACCAAAGCTTTCTATCCAGCTCAGTGACCTGTAAAGTGGGAAGCAGGTCAAGGAGCTTCAAAGAAGTGTCACAGTCAAACAGTAGGATAAGGGAGGAGCCCAGAGAAAATGGGAACCAGGATGAGTTGGGTACATCTGTATCAGGACTGCAGCAAGTTTCTGGTGACCAACACAGAGTAAAAATGGAACAGAGCCAAGATCCTAAAGTTTAATGTTCTTCCTCAGGGATTCCCTGAATTTCCTGAACATTCTGAATTTCCTTTTACAAGAGGGAGTTTAAGATTTCTGAGACAAGTACAAAGATTTCACATCTGCATCTTTCCTAGTCATTTTGTGATTTAAAAACTACAAAGCAGAATGATCTTTCCATAGCCACAGGAGTTGGATGGTGAATTGTGCAGCCAATCCACAGTTATGTCCAAAGCACACTGCAGTGGACAAAGAGTTCTCCACTCTGCTAAAAGATCTTTGCTGAACTTGGGCCAACTTCATTTAGCTAAATGAAATGTCATCTGTCCTTCCCATGTCTGACCTCTGGCAGTGGTAGGTGCTCTAGAATCATCTGCTCTGTGAAAGCAGGACCGTCCTGGTCATCATCATACATATCTCAGCCAGTGGAGGATGAGACCTGTTTTCACATGGATGTTTGACAGAATGCTCCTCTTATTCACTAAACTGTTCTTTTATACAGATTCTGTAATTGCACTGTAGTAAATAAATACAAGGTGGAAGGAATTCAACAACTGCGGAATGCTTGCTGTTGTCTCAGGTCCTGTACAAGTACTGTGAACAATTTGTCGTTTAATCCTCACCTCCAACTTAGAAGTGGTTTCACCTCACTTCACAGACTGTGGGGTGGGGCCGGGGGAAACTCAAATGCTGCAGAAATTAAGAAGGCAGAGAACTAAACTGTGACTGCAAGCATATCTGGCACTGAAGTGAATTAACTGCTTTTACCTCTAGACCAGGGAGGGCACAGGGGTGGAAGGGGAGCCTCTAGCAGTAGGAAGCAGAGAAGAACATGGAGGCAGAGAACATTCCCTTTCACCACTCACTGGGCAGTATCAGTATCTGAGAATTCTATTTCTTTTCATGTGAAATTTCCTTAGTACACAATTACCAGTGCAGTCTTCCTTTTTAAATATGTAGCTCAGAAGCCAAAGAAAGAAATGAGTCAAAATTGAACAGATAGTGAACACTGAAAAAAGAAAAAAGGTGGAAGATTTAGAAAACTTCAAAATTCCATTAAAACACTGACGCTCCACTTTAAAAATATTGCCTTTGAAGGCTAAAATACTTTTTTAAAATCATAAATGGCAGACTGATCTAAACAATGGCTTTTAAACTTCTTCAGGTTCTCAAATCCATATAATCTAAATTACTCTTCCACAAAAGAAGAAATTACAGTGATTACAAAAACAAGAAAAACCTACCAAGAATGTACCACCCAACATCTTATTAGGACACCTCATTGCCACAGAAAGCAAGAAAAGACCCAAATACTAATGTGGGTTTGTCAAAAAGACACAGGAGCCAGATTAAAGAGTCTTCAGTAGTTTAAAAAATGACTATGAGTCTGAATGACTAGATAAAAATCCATAAGTATATAGTACATACATTAAAAAATAGAGAAATGGAAACCCTCATGACTCAGTCATATTCCCATTTTGGTGCAGCCTCTGATGTGAGAATCAGTGATGTGTTTCACTGCTCCTTTCACCTTGACTTTTTGTTTTGTACAACCTTTTCCCATCATAAAAGTAAAATAAGAAAGTGAATAAGCACCACAGTGAGCAATGTCTTTGGTGGTAAAGAAAGAAATTATCCTTAAGACATAAATCACCTTTTTGAGACTATAAGGAAATGGAAAAACAGAATAAAAACAATTTATTTTTGTAACTAGGGGGTGGGGGGAGCAGGGCAGGGAATACTTGGTCAAAATACCTTTGAAACCAAAATAGGTCAAAGGGAGAAATGAAGTGGGAGAAACCCATTTATTGCTTACAAGCAGTCATACACTTCTGCTCACCTGTGTCTCTCACGACCTGGCTGCAGAAGAAGGGACCCCATCCAACCTCTCCAGTCCAGATATGCCCTCGCTCCCCCTGCAATTACCTATTGATAGGAGATGGACTACTTCTCTCCAACCCTTGGAAAAACCTTCTGATATGGATATGCACTAAGGCCAGATGAGAGATTCTGGAAATACTGCAATTTTACCCAGAGCCCACCCTTCCAGAAATCTCGCCTCACAATCTACCTGTTCCCCATCTTCCACAGCGGACTCTGTGTGAGAAAACTGGAGCACTGTAACCAGACTAATAATATATAGTAGCAACAGCAATAAAATTATGATAATTCTCAAGCCAGACAATTCAACTAGGTTCAAAGTCCTGTGCAGATCAAGTCCACAGCTCACCCATTCCACAGGCAGTCAGCAGGTGAACAGGTAGGGAGTTCAGAGCAATCATAGCACAGCAGCTGCAGCCAGGGGGCAGCGCCAGGCCACAGGTACTGTAAAAGAAAATTATCCTATGGGTCATAAGATACATGTTTTAATGACACCAACAGAGGCAAATCTTGTCTATCAGGTAGGTAGGATGCATGCAAGAGAGTGGTCCTGTGATAGGACAGTGGCAGGAATGGGATCTCATCCTGATCTACTATACCAGACTTTCACCCACCTCCCTGTGGGAGTTATAGCTGGGTCAATATATAGGGCTACAGGACATACATGCACTGGCCATAAAGATTAAACAAAACTTCCCTGTAAGATGCTCTTATGTCCCAGAAATTTTGGGTACAGTACCACGATCTTTGGGAGCCACTCTGCTGTTACTCCAGGAACACATAGGAGGCCAGCTTCCAGGCCTTTTCCCCAAGGTGCCAGAAGTCCAGGTGTCAAAATGTTCAGGGCCATGTCCACTCAACAGTCTCCAGGGTTTAATACATTTGGGGCTCACAGCAGGATGTTGCTCTGCTGGCCATATCCTGGCTTCAATAACTCTCCCTTGATTTGCACATACAGTTGTATGGGAGAGGCAGCAATGTGTGTTAGCATGTCCACAGGGCTTAAGGCTCCTCATTCAAATGCTGTAGTACTGTCCATAAACAAGCTGTCCTGCTCCAGAGATTATTGGTGCCCAACTTCAGGCCAGATTTCAACAAACCACTGTACCTTCTATCATGCCTGCCCCAGTAGGGCTATATGGTACATGAAACTTCCACTGTATTCCTAATTGTTGCACCCATTCTTGTAATGCATGTCCAGTAAAGTGGGTGCCTTGATCGCTCTCAATCACCTGTTGCTGGCCATAGACAACAAAGAGACACTGTAGGCCCCTTCTGTTGTTTTGCTGATCTGCATGACATGCAGGAAAAGCAACCAACAAGCCAGGAGCTGTGTTCACACAAGTCATGGCATACCGATATCCTTCTGATATGGGCAGAGACCCAATATAGTCTATTTGTCCTAACAGGCGGTATCGGCCCCTTTACTATTGTCCCATGTTGCTGCAGGACTCAGTGTAAGTCCCTCTTAGAGCACACAAGGCATTCCTTCTGGGCTGTGCTGACTTCTTCAAAGGTCAACAGCAAGCCCCACCAATGGGCTACGGCCCACATTGTCTTTTGCCCCATGTGCAACAAATGCTAATATATTCGTCTACATCAGAGGCAGGCTTTCCTTCTAGCCAATGCACCTGGGCCAATGTGTCTGCATCATCATTCCCTGGGGATGCCAAAGGCAAATGGCCAATCACATGATATACAGTAACTGTCTTAATCTGACCAGAGGGCCATAGGTCTTCCCACAACTCCTGCCTCCAAAGGGTGAATGACCAACGCTTCAGTTGGCATGGCACCATGTCGGTAGCCACAGGGTCAAGCCTTGATAGATGGCCCAGCTGTCAGTGCAGACAACTATGGGGGAAGGCTCCTCGGTGATCACGAGCCATACTGCCCACAACTCAGCCCATTGACTGCTCTTCC